AGTTCAGACAATCATCTTAATCTTCACTGACTTCATGTATGTCATTCTCACAGTCTGTGAAGAACTATCTGTTTGTGTTGATTGCAGCGCCCCCCTGTGGATAAACCAGTACCTCATACATCTTTGTGTATCTCATCCTGTAAATGTTCAGTGACTCTCTTTTCACAGTGAAATGTGTCCCTTACTGATGAATTGGTGGTAGAAAATTAAAAAAGGCTGTTTCTTCAGCATCTCATCTGACACCAACCCCCATCAACAATAACAGGCATTAACCATTTTAATAAAGGAATATCAATCAATCAATCAATCAATCAATCAATCAATCAAACATTATTTTTAAAGCACTTTTCATACATAGATTGTAGCACAAAGTACTGTCCATTTGGCAGGATAGTAAAAAAAAACAACAATAAAATAAAAATAAATACAAATACAAATACCAAACCCCACCCACCTTCCCAACCCTAATTTAACACATCCAGCACTCACACGCTCACACACACAGATGCATACACAAAAGAGCAGGTGTGGACTCATCAACTTGCCACAGATGACTGAGGAAACGCTACCTCAAGTTAAAAATGATGAGGAAACACTGGATCTAGGACTAAAACGATAAAACTATGATAAAATATAATAAAGGTGATAAATCATTAACAGTTAATTTAATAAAAAAGTCTTAAAATCAAACAATAACAGAAAGTAAATTAAAAAAGAGGTAATGAAACACAAAATAGGTACTCTACAATTAAAATAGGGTAAAATCACATAATGCAGATTAAAAGATTAAAACAAAATTTTACCAAAAGCCAGACTAAAAAGGTAGGTGTTGAGTTTACTTCTAAAAACATGAACTTTAGGTGTCGCTCTCAGGTCTGCAGGTAGGCTGCTCCACAGATGGGGATCGTAATGTTGGAATGATGATTAACCATATGTTGTAGTTTGTACTTTGGGAACAATTAAAAGACCACCACCTGAAGACCTGAGGGTGCTACTAGGCTCATACGGTAAAAGCAAATCAGACAAATAGGAACAACAAAAACCATTAAGAGCTTTAAAAACTAATAAAAGAACCTTAAAACCTACTCTAAAAGACACAGGTAGCCAATGCAGAGAAGTTGGTGTTGGTGATTTTGTTGATGTTCTTTTTTGATTTTGAAAGTCAAAAACTCCTCACAGGATATTTACGGTGTAAGATTTCCTGTCATTGACTCGGCTTCACTATTAACGCTACAGCCGTGCAAAAGTGCTGCACTAATGTTTACTGCCTCACCACCTCCCAGCATCCACCTGCAGTCTCCAACTGGTATATTATGTTATCACGTCTCAATTTTTGCCTGTAAAACTGCAAGAAGTGATGAGGTTGTAGCCTAGATCATGAATACAATCTGCTGCAGTAAATGGTTCAAAACATAAAACAATAAACAAAAGAAATAAAGGAGGAAAAAAAAGCCAAAACATGACCAGATAGTGTGGCAAACAATCTGTCTGAAGGAGAGGGATTTATGGACAACGTGATGGTCTCTTTTAAGAAGTCCGTAGATTCAGATTATGGGCATATTCTCCCCTTTGTACGACGGAGTATTAGGGCCACATTAAGGGGGAAAAAAAGACTTTGAGATTAAAGTCGTTAATTTATGAAAAAAAAAGTAATTCCTAAGAGAATAAAGTCATTACTTAGTAGAATAAAGTCACAATAAAATCATTGTGATACTCATGATAATGTGGTGCTGATGTGCCAAAAGATGAAGTATCTCCTTGTTTGAGAAACCTTTATTGAAGTACATTTTTATAAAATACTCCATAGCTCTCATTTCAACAGCTATCATCTTAAACAACAGGTTAGAATATAAGGACTTTATTCTCGCAAGTAATGATTTTATTACAACTTTATTCTCTTTGGTAAAATATAATTCTTGTAAATTAACGACTTCAATTTCAAAGCCTTAATTTTTTTTTTCTTAATGTGGCCCTAATACTCCATCGTACCTTTGACTGATCAATAATTAAACACACATTCTGCAGGAATCATGCATTTTTCTGACTGTCCCTCTCTCTTGATTGCTTTCTTCAGGGTGTAAAATGAGACCATGGTCGAGTTGGACGGAGTGTACCAAGCAGTGTGGCGGCGGTATCCAAGAGCGACTCATGACAGTGAAGCAGAAGTTTAAGACTGCGCAGCTGTCCAGCTGCAAGGACAGGAAGGAGATCAGAGCCTGTAATGTCCACCCCTGCTAGGAAGGAGAAGAAGAAGAAGATGAACAGGGAAGTTTAGAGGGAGGGGGGGTGGCAGTGGGGCTGGGAGAAGGACAGGGCACGTCACACTGTCGCACAATGATCCAATGCACTCTGATTAGGGCTGAAATGGCACATACTCGAATCTGCATTGATATTAAATCCAGAGCTGAATCTGAAGATCTCACTGGAAAACTCTGGATTTAAACTCGGCTGATTCTGTAGTGCTCTCAAACCTGCTCTGACAAACATACAACTCTTTTGCAAGGTTACTGTAAACATGTTGTGCTATATTAAATCTTGAAAAATATGACTATGAAATAAAATTGATTTAATGATAAGAGAAAGAGCTGTTATATCTTGTGGTATCCCTAAGTAGTCCAGTATATTCCAGACTTTAAAGCACAGGTGCCCAGCCATTCCAGTGTTTTATATGCCTTCAAATGTTCAGTTGTTTCTAGGACACAAGATGCCCAAGATGTTGACTTTTTACCCAGCTATATTGTTGTACATGTAGATGCACCACGACCAATATCTCTATGATTTTAAGCATTATTAGAAGATTTTGTTATTTTTTTGCTGTGGAATTTTTTGATAAGAATGTGTCTGAAGGTTCTTACCAAAGTCTTGTGTAGATGTTTTCTAGATCTCTTTCCTCTCCTTTTCTTTATCTCTGTTCCTCTAACATATTAATATTTTGGAATAATATCACCTTTACAATAAAAGTAAACGTGACAACTTGTCACCTGCATCTGTCTTTTTATTCATAAAGCAGGGGTGTGATTTGAGCGGTGGGTGGTTTTTACCTCTTCAGCCACTAGATGGGGATGAGTAGCTTTAAACATTTGCTTTGAAAAGGAGAGTGTTTTTTCCTCAGGCTGTCTGCTGGAGCGCTTTAATCCTCTATACAGCTTTTGATACATGAAAACCACAAGGGGGCAGTGTGACCAATTGAAAATGAAACAAATGACAAAGGGGAGTATGTCATTTTTTCTGTGATTTGGGGTATAAGTAGGAGTTAAAACACGCTCAAAACTGTAATTTTTATAAAGATAAATTCATCATCCACACAACAGCAAATTCTAAGGAGCTCAGGATACAGTCAGACAGAAGTGGTGGTCTCTTTTATGACCTTACAGACCCTTACATTAAGGAAACATGTGGGCTGGGGAGCAGTAATTTATATGTACATGCTGTCTGTCAAATCTTGAGCAGGATCTGCCCCCCAGCTCTCTGGTGTAATAGGTGGGGGGAGGGGATGGCTTCATGGCTTTCTGTCCGTGGAACTCTGGAAATACGGGTGAAAATTCAATACACATATACACACATCACAATGCCATGCTTGTTTCCATGCCAACACATGCACACATGGGGGAAGCCTACACACTCCATGGACATTAGAAACATGTAAGGGGGGTTTTACTGCCATCACTGAGCTGTTAGCACAATAAAGAAAATGATTAGTCAGATTTTTTAAATTCCTGCATATGGTCTGGTCCTGAACCCCCTCAGGCCCGGTCCAGGCTAGTGCAGCGCCGGCTGCTTGTTCTGTTGCTCAGCTGCAGCTCAGAGATCAGACTGGAAATCAGCTCAGAAATGCAGTTATCAGTAAATCTCTCATTTCTCTGTGATATTATAATGAGCCCGCTCTATCTTTGGTCACATGGATGAATATGTATATTTCAGACTCAGGCTCCACAGCTGTCATTAAAATAAATCCCGAACCCTCAAACCTCCTCCTTGTTCAGCCACTCTCTCACTGAGCTGTTGGTTTCTTCAGCAGCTCTTTGTCAGTCCCTATTCTTGTACTTTGGATTACTGCAGCACCCTCATTTAAAACTGCCTCGGGCTCAAAACAGTGTGATGAAAGCTGTTTACAGTGGATTATTACATAATAAGTTTAACAGAATCTATTAAACTCTCTGAACATGGATCATCACTCTCTCAGGCTTTTGACTGCTTTTGTATTCAGTCGTTTCTGAATCTGCCTCTTTATCAAACTCTTGTACTAGAACTGTAACTGAGAGGCAACATCTCAGATGATCACTTTTCAAACTGAACATGTGTGTGCTACAGTGCTAAAAATAGATACACCTGGATGAAGCACAGGGAAGTACAGGGTGTTAAACAAGACTCTCCCCTGCCATGGTGACACTGTGCTGAGACAACTGCTTAAATTAGAGGGGTACACTAGACCAGTGGTTCTAAACTGGTCTCACTCTAGAACCCACATTTTCCCATGGTCCTTAAGTTGCAACCACTTTTATAAAACTCAAACCAAGCAAATTTATTATTTAGAAAATAAAACTTTAAAAACTCAAATCTTTCACATAAATACACTGTTTTTATTGAGTAAAGTGCATTTCAGAGCACATGAACTGAGGATGACAACTACTAAAGTTGCATATACAGAAAATATCAAATATCAAATTGCACAAAATGGAGACCAGCACAATGAAAATTTTGACTTATATGCATCTCTGCATTTAGAGCATATTGAGAAGAATCTGAGGAGGACCATGCAACAGCACGGACAAAAGAGAATAAATTTCAAATTGCACAAAATAAAGAAAAAAAAGACAAATAAACTATATAGAGTGAATGACCAAAGTTTATCTTTCAATTTTACCTCTTGAAAGGGCAATCAGACGATTTTTTTTTCACCTTAATTGTACAAAAGAGTCACGGCAGTATCTTGCAGTGCGCACTACAGTTTACCTGTGATACTGTCCCTTTAAGAGATAATTTCCTTTTTTTCTACTCAGGCATAGTTCAGTCAGCTATTGAGGGGCCTAATCCCACATGTTGTCTACTGGAGTCAATTTCCACTTGATAGTAAGAAGCATGTATGCATCTGTGAAGAAAGTAAGTGGAATTGCATTATCATTAGATGGATAATTTGCATATATTTACGTTATTTGGCCTAAATTATGATTTATTTCTTTCACCATGACTTATTTGTGTAAGCCATGGCTTATTAATGCTAGCTACAGTTTATGTGCGGTATAGCTACATGTTATGTATCAGATATTGGTAAGTTTAAATCCACCTCATCCTACTGACATTCATCTTATTGAAAGGTCATCAGTAGTGCACTTTTTTTTACCATCTTTGAGAAGCCATCAAGAAGAGTACATTTTGACTCAATCTCACTGGGACTGCAGCCAGAGGCCACATTTACCCCTAAATCAAACTGGAAGTACATCCTAAGTTCATATATATATATATATATATATATATATATATATATATATATATATTTATTTATTTTTTTACATGAGTCTCATTTGAATTGCCTCCAGGGAGCACAATTTTAACTTTATCTCATTGTATTTGCATCTGAAAGGCACTTTTTTTGCCCACACTCCCAAGCAGTGCATCCAGAGGACACATTTTTTACCAGTTAACCTCCCAGATGATACTTTCATCTGTCTTATAAGTGGGTAGTGGCCATGTCTAATTTTGTTATCCAAGAGAGGAGCCTTCCTGTTGGGTTATCACATTTCCCTTGGTTTACGTCCAACAACTCTTTGATCACACTGATTTGAAATGTTCAATATTGAACATAATTAATCTTTACCATTGGAAATCCTGTTGTATTGGAGGGAGCCTCTAAGGACAGCTGAGCACACACTCTGTGGACTGTCTTGTAGTGTGAAATATTGGCTAGAAAGAAGGCAAGCTGACTGACAAAGGAAACACAACAAATGTGGTCTTTGTGACAATATCAACATTAAACTAGATGGAAATCTGCGCTAACGGACCAAGTTGATGATATGTGGAAGCATCACAAATTTTAAAACACCATATTCTGTGAAACCTTAGATGATCAAGCTGACAAGGAGAGGAGTCATACAGGTATCTAAGCAACCGGTGCTGTTGCTTGACAGCTGTCCTATTGTTCGGCCTGTTTGTTTACTCTAAAGTCACGTTTAGCCCTGAGAGATTTTTGTGATAATTTTTCTGAGAGATTTTCTGAGAAAAGAGGCTCTAATTGTTGCTGACAGGAAACTGTTAGTTTGAGGTGTGTCTTCTTGGTCATGTATTGTTGGTCTACTTTATTGCAAATGATCAATAATCTATTTTACAAGATTTAGAAAAGGGTGTTTACTGTGCAGTCTCTTTGGTGATTAGACTCCATCGTCATATCTTCAAATGAGTGATGGGGTAATGATATTCCCTAACTCCTTTCCTCTCATGCAGGGTAGGATGGCAGGTGGACATCTACAGATTTACACCTGGAGACTGGTGATAACGTGTGGAGGTGACTGAGGTGGTGGAGGGTTGCAGTAGAAATGCTGAAACACCAAACTGAAGGAGAAGTGAGTCCTTTGAAAACTTGTCCTTTGCAAGTTTTAATCCAGTCTCTCCAAATTTGCAAACCCTTGACCACCATTTTAAGTGATTACTAAAGTTGGTCCCTTATTCAAGAGCTGCTTAATGGATGCTTTTGATCCTTCTGAGAGCATTTCTGGTCTGATTTTTGAGCAATCTGAGCAGATTAAAGGATAAGTCCGATTGAAAAAGATCCCTGAGATGAAATAAGTTGAACAGAAATTCATTCTTTTCGTCCTCTTGATGAAGTTACACTTAAAAAAAAACATGGAAAACACTCAAAATAATGCATTAACCTCCCTTATATATTACTATTGAGCTGCCTGCCTTACTTGAGAAGGCTGAGCATGTTATGTATCCTTCAACATCTTCAGAAACTTGCTGCAGATACTAGTCTCCACTAGTTCTTTTTTTGCTATGATCACTGGAAAGGAAGCAGGGAGAGAAGGGAAGAAAAAACTTCCTAGTAATTATGCAGAGTTGTTTTTTATGTGCATTTTATAGGTCTTATGAGTGATGCATGAATTTCCCAAAGGATCAATTATCTATCTATCTATCTATCTATCTATTTTTGGAAAAAGCACTTTGAAGTAAGCTACAATCATAACGACAGTTTCACGGTACATCAAAGCTCTATTGCATATTTGCAAAAAGTAATGACACTCTTAAGACATTTAATTCACTGTTTAAAATCTTGTTTTTCTCCCAGCTGTATTGTGCCACAAAATGAGTGGTTGTTTTGTCTTGGTTTGAGCCAAAGTGGTCAAAATATGAAAATGCGTTTCCACAAATCATGTTATAACAGTAACAACCACAAAATGACATCCTTGTGAAAAGGCAAAATCAAAAACAAATACGCATCTCAAAACAGTGAAAAATCCTGTCCACTGTAGACTATATTGTAAGTTCTTAGTGTCATGGACTTCCTGTTTGTCTTGTTGGTCTATCAAGAGATGCTTTACAAACAGTACCTGATGTTTTCTTTTGCAATGTACAAGAGAAAAACAATCTCTTTAATTAAATTTATTATTACTTCCACCTGACAGGTCCTCAAAAGGTTTACAGTGGTAGACATCACTTAAAGACTAAAACCCACAGGATCTGTGTTGAGTGCGTTCTGTTAGCGTTGCGTCTCTGCTCAATTAGACAACAGGCTTGATATTCCACAAGATCCATGTTGAAGCGTGGCAGCAGCATAACACAGCCCCGATCAGCTGGGCTCAATTAATCGAAGACAACATGTTCACACAACTTTTTTTTTTACCTTTCTGTGGTTGATTTTCTGCTCATTTAAATTCTATTCCAACTGTTGACGGTTGGGCTTCTATACTGTATGTGAAAAAACAATGTGATTTTAAAGTTTTGGTTTTTGCAGGTTTATATATGTTTAGTAAATTATGTTCCTTTGTGCTGTGCTGTAACTGGAGACAGAGTTAGCAGCTAAAAGCCTTTTGGGATATATATATATATATATATGTGTGTATATATGTATATTTATATATATATATATATATATATATATATATATATATATATACTCACCGGCCACTTTATTAGGTACACCTGTCCAACTGCTCGTTAACACTTAATTTCTAATCAGCCAATCACATGGCGGCAACTTAGTGCATTTAGGCATGTAGACATGGTCAAGACAATCTCCCGCAGTTCAAACCGAGCATCAGTATGGGGAAGAAAGGTGATTTGAGTGACTTTGAACGTGGCATGGTTGTTGGTGCCAGAAGGGCTGGTCTGAGTATTTCAGAAACTGCTGATCTACTGGGATTTTCACGCACAACCATCTCTAGGGTTTACAGAGAATGGTCCGAAAAAGAAAAAATATCCAGTGAGCGGCAGTTCTGTGGGCGGAAATGCCTTGTTGATGCCAGAGGTCAGAGGAGAATGGCCAGACTGGTTCAAGCTGATAGAAAGGCAACAGTGACTCAAATAACCACCCGTTACAACCAAGGTAGGCAGAAGAGCATCTCTGAACGCACAGTACGTTGAACTTTGAGGCAGATGGGCTACAGCAGCAGAAGACCACGCCGGGTGCCACTCCTTTCAGCTAAGAACAGGAAACTGAGGCTACAATTTGCACAAGCTCATCGAAATTGGACAATAGAAGATTGGAAAAACGTTGCCTGGTCTGATGAGTCTCGATTTCTGCTGCGACATTCGGATGGTAGGGTCAGAATTTGGCGTCAACAACATGAAAGCATGGATCCATCCTGCCTTGTATCAACGGTTCAGGCTGGTGGTGGTGGTGTCATGGTGTGGGGAATATTTTCTTGGCACTCTTTGGGCCCCTTGGTACCAATTGAGTATTGTTGCAACGCCACAGCCTACCTGAGTATTGTTGCTGACCATGTCCATCCCTTTATGACCACAATGTACCCAACTTCTGATGGCTACTTTCAGCAGGATAATGCGCCATGTCATAAAGCTGGAATCATCTCAGACTGGTTTCTTGAACATGACAATGAGTTCACTGTACTCAAATGGCCTCCACAGTCACCAGATCTCAATCCAATAGAGCATCTTTGGGATGTGGTGGAACGGGAGATTCGCATCATGGATGTGCAGCCGACAAATCTGCGGCAACTGTGTGATGCCATCATGTCAATATGGACCAAGCTCTCTTAGGAATGCTTCCAGCACCTTGTTGAATCTATGCCACGAAGAATTGAGGCAGTTCTGAAGGCAAAAGGGGGTCCAACCCGTTACTAGCATGGTGTACCTAATAAAGTGGCCGGTGAGTGTATATATATATACATATATATGTATACACATATGTATGTATACACATATATACATATATACACATATATATATATATACACATATATTATATATATATATATATATATATATATGTGTATATATGTATATATGTGTATATATGTATATATGTGTATATATGTATATATATATATGTATATATGTATATGTATATATGTGTATATATGTATATGTATATATATGTATATATATGTATATGTGTATATATGTATATATATGTGTATATATGTATATATATGTATATGTATATATATATATATATGTATGTATATATATATGTGTATATATATGTATATATACCAGCATGATTACACAACCGTTTGCTCATACCAGCATCATGCAATTAGGGAATTAAGTCCTTGATAGTAACACTCTTTCCCTGTAATCTACATGACAACACATGATAATGAAGCCAATATATCCACCGTTTTGAGAGGTTTTATTCTCTTCTCTATGAGTTATTTTACATAAGCACAAAGCCCAGACTTCAAACTGATCTATGACAGATATTGCAGCCATGCGTCACACTTCTATGACAAACGTCTTATGATATGACAAGCTCTTATTTTGTCGAGCAGCTCAAATGACCTGTCGTTGAGTCTTATAGAATGACTGGAAAACATCGGCTGAATGGAGTTGGTTATGTAAAGTGGATTATTATTGTTTTGCTTGGTTTTGACAGCAGGCGTTTGGCTCCTCTTTGTGAAGGCAGTGAGGCATGAGAGGGAAAAAACTGCATGGAAGTGGGACAGTTGGTGACTGAGTCTGCACATTTTGCTCGCTTTGGTTTGATTTGCCTTTGAGTCTTTCAAATGTGACAGGGTCAATCCTCGCATTGACAGAACATAAAAGCAAAAGCGGGTCATAAATACAGCAGACCTTCAGTTTTGAAAACAAAGAGGGGAATACAGGTACAGTACAGCTCTCCTCTTTATTAGCCTTACAGGCTGTTCTTCAGATGGAGAGAGAAAGAGAGAGAGGAAATATAGGATTTCATAACCTAATAAACCTCAGAGGGGAAATCAATAAGGTGGCTCGCCCTGCAAAGGCTCCTTCTACAAATTTATAGACCACAGCAGCAATCAATGTCCTGAGTTTATAACCTGTTAAGACTTTGAACAGAAGGGATCTGAGAAATGTCAGTTAGCATTATGGCATATTCAGAAATATTTATCCAAATTAACAATTAGCATCCGAACAGCAGAGCAGAAGGACCTCTGTGTGATGTTTCCAACTCTGGGTAACAGATAGCCCTCCTGGGGGTGTGGCTCATCATTTAGCAACACTGTCATGCATGTTAATTTTAATCTGAAATGCCCATCCTGCTTATCGTCCTGCTCAACGTTTTTCTCTCCCTCGTTCAGCTACTGTCACCTCTCTTGATTGCTGGCATAGATTCGGAAAAGGCTTTTACAGAGATGGCAGAAAATTATTTCCCTGTCATGTTATTTTTCTGTTGCGGGAATGCGTTTGACATCGGCAGCTCTCAGCCACCCACGAGGCCACTCCGCAGCCTAATTCATCGTTTTTTATGTGACGTCACACACTATTCACTGTGCCATCTTAAGGACCAACCTGGGACTAGATATCAGAAAAGGCTGTCTGCTATGCTGTGCATGAGGGAGTATATGAACTAATCAAATATGTATATTTATGCATGAAAAAGTAAAACTTTCTATAATTTCGCTCTAAGTTCAGCCTGTATTTTATTCTTAGGGGAACATCAGATAAGCAGCCAGCTACATGAGCTAAGAGAAGGAAAGTGGAGCATCTTGTAGAGCCATACTAAAGTATAGGTTTCAGAAATATCTGAATGCCCAATCTTTTATCACATCAACCGAGCACTATCATAGGTATCAGGATTTTGACTTGATTGTGCCAGAAACTGAGTCGGTCACAAAGTAGGACCAAGAGCCAGTCCATTCATGCTTCTGTAACAGCGGTTTCTCTTCAGCTGTTGAGTTTAACTTCACATTATCATCCATCTTTCATTGACTAACCCAGCTCTCATGAAAGAATTACTGCACCCTTATTAATATATGACTTCAATGTTGTGAGATTTTTTTTTTCTTTTTTTCAACATATTTGACTTTTTCTCTCTCCCTTTTTAAATTCTCTATGTGGCCACAATTGCTTTTTACACCCATGTGTAAATATGCCTTTTTTATTTAAGTGGTGGCTCAGAACCAGAAGCGATGCCTCCCAGTTGAGATCGCTGCTTCAAACCTCTGACCAGACTTCATCTTTCGGTCCTTCTTTCTTCTCACAGCACTCATAGTAGCCCGAACTGTGCCCTGAGGGGATGCAGTGGAGGAGGCCCACAAATGGAAATACCTGAAGTACAGTAATCCGGCAGCTGATGCTGGACATCATGGCTGGAAAACTTAGGTACAGTCCAGTTTTGGTTGGCTAAAGAGGCTTTGTGAGGAAGTGAGCCGCCAGGCAAGATTTTGAGGTGTCCAGGACAAGCCCCACAGCAAGCTGTTAAAGTCCTCTGCAGTGCTGCTGCACAGGCCAGCTGCTGGCTCTTGATCAAGAGGAATGATACCTGGTTCCCAAGCCAGCAACCATGAATAGAGGCAAATTAAGGGGGACACCTGAGATACTAGGTGTTTCCAATGAGCCCCCTGGAGGAGTTGTGGGTCTGTCTTGGAACACCTGCAAGAGGGTGGCCATCTGATGACCCCAATATAGCTTTAATCTCCCTCCCTCAACACCCTACATGGCACCCTTTGGAAAACCAATAATGGAGATGATCATCCCCACTCACAAACTAGGTTAGAGCAGGTTACAGTGGATTGTACCTCACGGTCCAATTCTGGAACTTTTTTTTTTTTTAAACTTTGTCTTACAGCTGCAGTAAGACATGAGGACCCTCCTTTCCTCCTGCACTGTGGCTGAGGATTTGCCAGGGTTACACCAAAGAACTGCTTCACCTGCCATCCTTTATGCATATGACCCATGAAAAGCAGTAAATAGCAACTACAACAACTAACCCCATTTTTGGTAGCAGGTCTAGTTTTAAAGCTAGTACAACACCGGTGAATCTGTTGTACCAAATCTCTTGATATCAGATATATGAGTCACTAAAGGAAGAAGACTAATATAACTGCAGAGACTGTTTTTTACCATGAGCTTTACTGACCTGTGTTCACTTTTTTTTGTGAAAGCCACAAGCCAAACATCTCAGCTGGATGATGAGAGACCTCACATTTTTTTCCAGCTGAAACTTTTTACTTACATTTTACTTAAAATACCGTGCAAACCAAAAGTATATTTCATTTCATGCTCCTCAAGGACCTCTTCTCCTGTAGGTCTCCTGCTACTACAACCCGGTTCTGCAATTTTAAAACCTCATCACTGACTTATCAGTTCTGCTTTTGATTCCATTGGGTCCATGGAAGTAACATTACACTTTGAGAGTGATTTAATGGTGCACACTTATTAATAAATTGTCTAATAATATTCTTGGGAAAAGAAACTTGAATTGGCAGCGAAAAGGTGTGAAGCTATAAAAAGAAGGCTTCTGGTGGTCAGTTGCTTGTGGTAATAGCTGAATATGTGAAGAGATCCGTTTGACCAAAGATGAAGAGAGGAACACAATAATACTATTGACCTATCGCTAAGCTCCGACCCCCTTAGTTACTGTTGCTAACTCTGACAAACAACTGGAGCTGAGCAGTGCTTTACAATGGCCACTGCCGGTGTCAAAACACTACCCCAAGAGGGTCTTGTCAAATTCTGGGCACAGGAAGACGTGATTTCTTCAATGTCAATAATTTAAATTTAGATGTGGTGGGTGAGAACACAGTTAAATTGGAGGCGAGGGTGTACAGATCCCGATGTGAGCGGGAGAAGCCTCATCTCAACATCCAAGACCAAAACTGTTAGTGTACCACAGGGTATTAAATGAATTTACCTTAAATTATTCAAACTAATCTGGAGAGGCACTGAGTGTTACAGTCACTCAGCTACTGTGCTAACCTGGGCTAATAGTAGCGTTAGCTTGTTTCCCAGAGATGAAAGCTCTGTTATTACATCGTTAATGACGATTAAATAACTGTAGGTAAACTTGTTGGGATAACTTGCCTTAGAACAAACGTAGACATCCTTGTTGATCTTCTGAACATTTAGTTGGCTGTGTGGTCTGCCACACAACTTAATAGCAGACATTTTCTTTTTTTGGTTTTTGAAATGAAATGAAATACACCCCATTGCCCATCCTGTCGGGATACCTTATGTTGGTATTACATCTACCCCGTGCACCCCCTTTTTTAATGTTTATTTCTGTTATATTAAAATTCATTCCATAAAACAGATGAAAATTACAACTTCTAATGCTTCTCTATGGAGCTAAAAGCTACAGATGTTCGAGTTCTGGTTCCGGTGCTATTGACTCATCTGCATTTGAAGGGCAAGGCTTAGCAATAGGTCAATTATGTATTTTTGTTTGCACAGCAATCTACAATAGACATGACAGAAGGAGTTATGACCCGTGTAACTTTCTAACACAAACTTTAATTGACTTGTAATTATCTACTTTATTGCTGCTGATTTATTTTTATGAGTTTGATGCTTTCACGGTTTCATCAGCCTTGTTTTATGAAGGTTGAAAATTTCTCATTCTGTTTGGAAACAGTCATTTGTTCCACGCTAAAAGCAATGCCAGTTCTGTTAAAAACAAATTGTCCTCTTTTTGTTCCAATGAATAACAGAAAAGGCTTGATAGTGCCATCGATCAGGACTTGAATCATTAAGGAGTCCCAATGATCATTTCATTATAAAAGTTAACAATCTGCAACCCAAGTCTGAAATGCAACTTGTAGAAAATCTTAGAGAGAAATAAACAAACTGGAGTTATAACTGACTATGTACTTTAATATAAGAGGAATATTCAGCAGACATGGATCAGTGTCACCACTCTTGGAAGAGGGTCAAAGTGAACGGCACACGAACACAGTCTGAGCAGTCTGACACAGACTGAACAGTCACTGTATGACTGGAGGGATAAGTCTAGAGTCTGGGTGGTTGAGCTCACTCCTGTTCACTCCCTTCACTTCCCTTCCTAATTATTTGAAGCTATAATTGCAGATAAAATACTGAAGCAATAAAGTTCACTGAGTCAAGGTACATGGTGCCACAAGCATAACATTTAATCATCGTATTAGTATTTTCATCCCTAACCTATAGAAATTTCCACTTCACAGCTCCCCCTGAATAACCATGAACGTTTTCTATATCGCAGACTGTCTTCACAGCATACCATTTATCACTTCGTCTATTATCTTCAGTGTGTTTCATTAAAAACTCATCACTGAAGTTTTAATGAATTTTATAACTTTACACATAAAAGATCATCCTGGAATTAACTTTTTATTTCTGTGCAACACTTAAAGCAAATTATATGATAGCAGCTGTGTAAGATACCCCCTAACACACTGCAGCTATCAGGAATGTAACTTACATTTTGCAGAGTTAAAAGTCTGCTTTTGGGTCTTGCTGTTACCATGACAACACAGACATCTAATTTCTTTGAACCCTTCATTACCATATGAACTCTAAATGCAGAGTTCACTCATTAATCAGCGACTGCCCTGGTTTTTTAAATAACATTTCAGCAGAGACATAGTTAACCTCAAGCCATAGTGAGGTTCAGTAATGCTTTCAGTTTGTCTAAATGCTTCAGAACATTATGAAAAAAATAAAACCTATGTCCTTCTACATGTTCAAATGAATACTCATATGTGGACTCCCAAGCACAGGGACCTTGCCTCTAACCACACCGTAATGTTCAAAGCGTTGAACTCATTGATTCAAGCAGAGTTTACATGTTGTATGTATCGTGATTCAGTCTGGAGTAATTATTGATCATGGTCTTTGTTTAATATGTTGACAGTATATTACATAATTACATGTCTGCTGTTAATTTCAGATTGAACTCTTTAACCCCCCTTAATGTCTCGTTGAATAAACCTCAGCTGTTTTGTGCCCAGAGTCAATATAAAGCTGCCTGTTGGTATGTGCGTATATGTGGGCGGTTATATGGTATGTCTCTGAGGCTACATTCAAATAGAAGTTGAACAAGATCTGCTAATCCGTTTCTTCCATCCAGGCTGTTCTTGTTCACAATGAATCCGTAGATGTTTATAAAAAAAAAAGTCTTTCATTTTCATCTGCTAAAAGGAGTTGTCATTCTTAAAAATTCTTAAAATCTTACAATTGTCTCATATTTACTGGCATAATAATCATCATCATTATATTCAGTAGCACCAGCATGCTCATTCATGCGAATACAATTCTTTTAAATACATGGTAAACTGTTCATAAATAAAAAAAATAAAATAAAAAATTGTAATGCTTTTTCCCAAATTTACATTCATACAACAAATAATCGTGTCTACTCAAAGCTATAAATAAACCTCTGCTTAATTAACACATAATTATACACATATTAAGTTTATGTGCATCACATTTTAGTTTAGATTTCAGAGACCCTGTCTACCTGAAGTCCCAGTAGTCTGACATTAACACAGATAGTAATAAGATTTTGAACACTTTAGAAAATTTAGTCCGTAACCATGATGCTGCTGCTGACATCCCGTTAAAGTGTGCTACCTACATTAGTTTTCCACTGAAATGCCGACACTGATTGTTTAATCATAATGCTGTCAATGTAGACACTCAGAAATATACTGGAGAGAGAAAGCTGGCCCCTATACTGCTTGCAAAAGCAGAAACTATGCCGGAGTCATGCAAAACTCTACGGTTCCAAGAGTTTCGATTGCTTCTTTAACTATGAACCACCTCAATGAATTCATGTAACTTACCAAGATACAGTGAATTTCTAGTTAGTTGTCAAAGTGGATGGTGACTGCAGTGGCCCTGATGATTCCCTCCAGGACAAAAAAACTCAGCAAATTCACAAACACATGCCGAAGTCTGCAGCAAAATGCACAGTGAATGAAAAATGCATCGTAAAAAGCTGTAAAGAAAGAATGATGTGAAAGTCAAAACTACACCAAAAAGAAAACAGTAAGTCATCACAGCAGAAGCTTCGAGCAAATTGAGGTGCTCAGTGGAAGAGCTGTGATACCAGAGAGCGAGACAAGGGCTCCCTCTGACCCCCTGACCTGCAAATAGTTTCCCTCTCTGTTATGATCTTCCAATTTGTTAAAAGTGCCCTAAGGAGATGAGGAAGGAGGAGAGAGGAAGGTCCTGGAAGAGCTCAGAGCGAGGACACACTGGTTTATGTATTCTCAATGGAAGTCTTTTGACCAAAAACACAATATAATTGGTGCCTGTGCAGCATGCCTCTGCGCAGATCATTATTTATGTTTTTACTCCTCACACTGCGCTGATCAGAGACAACGACTAAGACATAGTGGCTGCTCAATGCATAAACACACTCAAACAGACAGCAGGACATTTTAATCACAGATGGTAGTGGCATTAAAGGAAGAAAAAAATGCTTTGACTTCATTTAACACCAAAATGGACAGAAATTTACACAGCTTGAAGATTCAAACTTTTTTCCCCTAATGAGAAGTCCCCTGGTTGTTTGTACCTGTGGGTGTGTGTTAGGCGGCTGTGCAGCTTATCATCGCTTCTTAATTCTCCAATCTTACACTGTGAGGGGAAAGCAAATATGTCTCCTCTGTCCTTCTGTCCTCTGTATAACCCTTGTGTCACTCTTTCAACTCCTCGACGGGAGTTGAAAGAAAGGACACAAACGGAGGACCTGAGGGGACAAATAAATGAACTGAAAGAAGAGGAACTGATTTAACTAAATATGAGACCGTAAACTGACAAAAGGACCATAACCCACTCACTGATTTGAACAAAAAACTCTACTTCATCACGTTAAAAGCCCCATAATCTTAGCTGAGAAATGATTCCTGATGGACAGGTAGTTTTGCTGAAATAACTCTTTGTAAGTGTAGCCTTAGCTAACAATAAATATCAGGTAGCCGTGCTGCTAATAGTGTGATTAAATGGGCTACATGCTACAAGATGAACTCTCTGAATTCAAGCCTGATTCCCCAATCCTCAATCAGGCCCAATCATCAGAGAAAATCTTGCCAGATTATTCTGTGGTGTTAGCTGTGTGATTTTCTCTCCCCTGATCTTGCAGGAAATGATTTGCTTAAAATTATATGTGTCAAACATGGTCAATTTCAGTGATCAGAAATGGTTGCTGGTGTAAAAATGTCTTTCTCTGTGGTCTGCTGCTTTTACCACATCATCGCACACTACAGGCACAAACCTGTTCAATCTGTCATCATTCCTCAACATCCGTGTGATCTCTGATATTCTTAAAAATAGTCAAGATCTTAAAAAGCTTTCTTGTGCACTGGGCTTTAGCTGACTCTGTGTTGGCGCTCTGAGAACAGGGGATTGTTGTTGTTTACTCCTCAAGCTGCCACAGCTGGGACTTGCATTTTTAATGTATCGGCAGTGTGTTTGCTGGAAATGCATGCGCTTTGTGTTTTTTTTTTTCAGCAAATTTTATCATCTGCAGTGGACACAAAAGTGTGTCTTGTTTTTATTTACAGTGCTCTGACTTTGTATTTCTTCTGGTGGAAATTTAGCATTCCAGCTGACTTGCAGTTTTCTGCATATATTGCATAGTCTAAATAGAAAACGCTCATAAAAAGTTTTTTATTTTTTATTATTTTTTTTTTTTACTGCACGCTTAGTCTTTTTTGTCTGACACCAGCTCATCCTTCTGCCATATCTCCTTCCTTGAAGAGGAAACAACATCCAGGACTTGGTTGCAGATGGCTAATCTCATGAAGCTTCGACAAGCCCCGGATTTACTGTTCAGTTGGCCTCTCCTGATCTATGTGCGAAGGATGGATAAAAGCATGGCCCCTGGCAGGGTTTATCAATGTTAATGGGGTTGGCTGCACAGAATTATCACCTACCAGAGGTGTGATGGTGTGATGGTTGCAGCAGCAGGGGAGACTTTCTCTCAAATCTTCATCAACCAAAGGATACTTGGTGTCCAAATTGATTCTCTGCAGTAAGACAGTGCTTACAGATTTGCCACAATGTTTTTGGCAGTACTGTGGTGTACTGTGGAGCTGACCAGACTGTGCTCGGTTAGTGTGAGCAAGAGGAGTGGAGACAGATTATCTGCGAATCAATGAGTAGGGCTCAGAGGAGGAATGACCTGTTTATACAAGCTAATGGCTCCCAGAGCACTGCCAGAGCATGTAATGGTTCCTACTAATGTTTTCTCACATCGTTTAAGATCCCTTTCCTTCTCTTTGTGACAATTGCTCTCTCCCGAAGGAATCTTTGATCCCAGGCAATAAAACCATTGCTTCTTTATATCCTGTTTATCCTGAATTGGCTCTGGTGTTATTACCTTGAGGTAACCAGAGTCACACATGGGATAACTGATGGGAAAAAAAATACAGTATTAAAGTATGATTTCATTAGTTTGGAGTCAGCTGAAATGGGGATTGTTGTCTTTTTCATTTGGAAGATCCTTTTCTATTTATAGAAGGAGCAGGCCTTGTCTGTGGAGTCTGCCATGCTGCACATTAGGGCAGGGTGATAAACCGAACATTTACCGATTCCGAATTAATAGATAAATAAACAAATAAAAGTTGGTTTTGGATGTGTGTAGGTAGGCTATAGTCTCGTGTCCCTTTTAGATGCTGTCCTACATCAGAGACGTGACTCCACCCCAACCAGTCTGTAACAAAGAGGAAAAGACAGGTGAGGAGATGGAGGACGGATCAAAAGTTGTAGAGACTGGAGTAGTGGCTGAAGTAGACAAAGTTAATGTGGAAGGGGGTGAGAAGCTTGTGGAGTAGTTATCGTCCATTTATCGTGATTGAGGTGAACTGCTCAATATATTGTGATATTGATTTGAGACCAGATCACCCAGCCCTACTGCACATGTTACTGCAGTATCCTAGAATGGACAAACCAAACACTGGAGCTCTTGACTTTTGTGGTCACAGTTAATTGCTCTTCGACCTGATCAATAAAGCACTAAAAAAAGTCCTACTTACTCATCCTTAAAGAGGTGGTTCAGTTTCTTTACGGCAGGCTTGTATGAGGCACCTGTCAATCAGAATTTTATTACCCGTAAACAATCCCTGTCCCCTCAGGCCTTAATTTAAAGAAACTCACACCAAAATACAAAAGCTATTTACGCAAGCCTTGGACACCACAGGATACCTTGAGGAGGACACTAAGGTAGAGAGAGGGGAGGGACTTGTTTTAACGAGAGAGATCACATGTTAACAGGTGGAGGAGGCGTATAGACTGTTAAATTGTGTGAATGGATGATACGCACAAATGACTTGAACTCATGACACATTCAGCACTCTGCTTGCTTTATTCATTTATTCCAAGAAGTTGAAAATCTGAATTTAAGCAAATCACTCCCACCAAAATAGCCAATCAGCATGAAAATCCCCTGGTGATGTATGTGGGCAATTCATTTGGAGTATGAGGCTGCCTGGGCTGGAGGATACGATTTGATTTTGATATTTAAACAGGAATGAAAAGCAGCTCCCTTGGAGGACAGTGTCTGAGGAAGTCAGATTATTCAGTAAATTTGAAAACACAACCATGTTAGATGTAAAATAACTGAAATTGCATTAAGGAAACCCCTCCTCTTTTGCTTTGATTCATGTGTTTGGGCACCTCTGTTGACATGATGTGGAGCCTGTCACCCAAGCACTTCAAGAGAGTAAAGATAAATAAATAAATCACTCAGACGGTTAAATATGTATTAATTTTGCAACTTTATAATATTATACATGTTGAGTGTGAACACAACATTAGCTTAGAGAGACACTGCTGTCATAAGCAGGATTGTAAAACTGTAACAACAGTTTTTCAGGGCCTTTCTGAGTCAGGGGTCACCAGAAGCTCACATACATATGCAGCCTGATTTACTCGTTATAGTTCCCTATAGTACTACATGGAGAGTAAATGGGAATACCTCGAATTCATCTTTGTTTTGAATGACATTTTTGTAATTGTATGAAAACCAGAAGTCTGCACAATGAGTCTCAGTCATGAAACATTAGTGTGTGACTTGTTTGTAAAAGAAAATTTCTATGTCTTTTAGCATTCAGTAATACTGGAAGAACTCAAATCTTTAGTTTTATGTAGAGACCAGGCAGTTTATCCATTTGAGACAGAGGTTGAAACTGTTGTTATGATTTTGCTGACCCTCACTGTTAAAGCAGCGGGCAACAACTCAGACTATCACAGAGTACACCAACAGTATATAAAGGTCAGTATCACAGAAGAAAATAAAACCTGCAGAAGCAAATTTATTCACCTTTAACCCACCAGAATCCACACTGTGTTAGCTGTGAAAAAGGGGAAAACTGACATGAAATGATAAACTCCGCAGTCATCATTGCCAGACTGATAGTGTTAAACATTTCTTGCTTTAAACTATATCAAACTAAGATGTAAAAATCCAGTCCAATCCGCTTCAGTTGTAAAGCACAGTGCTGTACAGCAATATGGAAAGCAGAAAAAGACACATAAATTCAGAGAGATCACATATCTCTCATGCCGGGTAAAAAAGCCAAGGAGTAAATGTTGAGTTTTGAGATTTAAAGGTGTGGAGGGTCAGGGACATTTAATGTAGGAGGGTAACTTATTCCACGGTTTAGGGGTCAGAGCAGAGAAGGCACAGTCACCCCTGACTTTCAGTCTAGTTTAACGGACCATGAGAAGGAGCTGATCAGCAGACATATCAGACCTTGAGGGAATGCAGACTTAGAGAGGTCAGGGATGTCAAAATTCACAATATACAAGTGTACTGTAAAAGTCAAGATGACTCATGCATTAAAGGCAGATTTGCAGACTGCATGCCAAAGAGCACCAAGTGTTTCATCTGTGAGGAATGCTAAAACAAAGCAGCTTTCTGTTGGCAAAATTAAGGGCTGAATGCTTTCTATTGAAGTGAGCACTCTAAAGTGACGTAAGTGTTTGGGTCAAAATATCTTAAAATGAGCTTAATTAGAAGATAACTCTGATCTATCCTGCAGTGGTCGAACCAGACCTCCTGTGGTTAATACACTTACTATTTATGTGGACCCACTACAACCCAACATAATTTTAAAGGAATAATTAAAGACATTCATGTAATTAGGAGCAAGGCTATTGCTGCTTTATTTATCATTATTTAGTTGACATTGTAGGCTGGTATGTGAATTAGAGTGAGGTAAGTGCATGTATTTGCGTCATCTGCAGAATGAGCCACCTAAAGGACAAAGCAGCTGAGTGCTGAATAGTCATGGGCAAACAAGCTTTTAAATCTTGCTCTTATATAAATAGATTATATGCTTCATGTATGCAAAGCAGAGGCCGTGGCATTTAGTTTGAAAGATCAACACACATGGATGTCCCGGTGACACAGCTGAAGAGCACAGGAGATGAAGCCGTCTTTATGAATGTGTGGAAACTGAGATTTTCTTTCTCTTGAACATTTTCATGAAGTATTTCATGATGGCTGTGCCTATGTAAATGAAGCATGAGGAGAGCTTAATGGAAAGGCAGACCATGGTGTCAGATCCAGATGGTTTCAACAGAGTTGTTGGGATGAATAATTCAGACAGAGAGCACATCTTCTGAGCATGCTGGAAGCATGAGTCTCAACCCAGACAGCAGATTGTTCCATCTCATGGACAATCTTTTGTTGTTGTTGAAAATATGCCTTTTCAAGTGTGAACAACAGAAACAGTAAGAGGTCTTTGTATATCATCAGCGAAAAAGGAACGTTTTCTTAAAATCCATGCAGAAACCCTCCCTGCTGGTTTGAAGCTGCTGAACTTGGTGAGGATGAAGTAGTTATTTAATAGTAAATACAGAGACATCGTTTTTAACATGGCTCAATTATGTTCCTATGATGACACGTGTCAAAATGATGTATTGTAGCAACATTTTCTTTCCTAAGGAGAGACACAGTTGCACCGTTTGCCATGGTTATTTGCATCTTAACAGGTTCCACCGCCCTTCTGACTAACACTGTTATCACACAATAACATTGTGCTTCACAGCCTCACTCCAAACAGCCTATTTCTTAATTAGCTTACTTGTGTGTTGCTAAGCAATCTCAACAGCAGCAGCAGATAGAAGCCAGAAAATAATCATATTTAATTGATAAACATGCCTCAGTGACAGACAGTTTTCGCCACAGAAGATGTCAGCTTTTCCTCCAAGATATCCAAAGCATGCAGGCTGGGAGCATTACTCCTGGCTTGGAAATGCATTTCTATAAATGTATTGTATCATATAGACAATAAGAGGGAAAGCCATTCGCAGCATTGTGGAGATAACAGCTGCAAAGAGACCAGTTCACCGTATCGCTCAGGCCCACATGGACCATTTCTGCGTTGATGGAGTAGATTTTGCACCCTGATGGAATTTGTGGATTCATCAGGTTTTCACCCTCTTGTGGTTTGTTCCAGTTAGAACCAGGTACTGCGTCTAAGCTCAGGCCATCCCCTGCTGTTCTGCACGACTGGCACCCGTATTTAACACTTGGTGAGCAGAATAGTGATCAATCCCTCCACCTCAGAATGGAAACAGACAGCCATAACCAGAGACATAAGAGCTATAGAGGTACTCGCCGCACTGTTACCACGGCAACAGGCCTTGCGGGGGGGGTATCATCACCGGCACTCTTAGATTGGCTGGTTGTGGTTTGGTGCAATGGTTCAGTTTAGTTGGCTGTTTCTGCCCTTAGAGAGACATGGAAAGTGGTTCTCTGGTTTTTCAATCTACCTTAATCTGGTGGAGTCTGGTGGAGAGATTTACCAGACGGTGGAGTTGACAGCTGAAGTCCTGAGTTCATCACATGTAGCCTGTAAAACTAAAACGTGTGATTCAATTACATGATACCAGTTCAGGATTGATTAGCCTGTTCAGGATGTGTATTACCAATCTCTTGAGCCTGTGGTCCATTTTTTTTCTCACATTTGTTAGAAGGTTGTACAAAAATCAGATTTGAAGTACATTTATTATTAAGTCTGAGGAGAGAAAATCTAATTTACAGACATCCCTAGCAAATTCTAATTTTACAGCCACTCCACAGCATCATGATGAAAACATAAAATATTTATAACTCTATCATGTCTCGCATACAGTTGTATGTTTTTCTAATTGTATCACAGTCATGTCTGGAGCATCCAGCCGGTGAAACTCCACCACACTGAACCCAGGGGACACTCATGCAATATACACATCCAGCCTCACAGATTCCATCCGACTGATTTAGTATTGCTGACTGTCCCAAGGTAGGCACTGTATGTTCAATATAACACGGGTCCAGAAAACATACATAATGCAGAGCATGTAAGTACACACATTAACACAAAAAGATGAATGCTGGCGCACACACCCATACACACAGCAGTGAACCTTAGCCTGGCTCGACTCCCATGAGTCTCCTCACAGAGCCCATCAGCCAGACGCAGACTCTCAGGGAGGATGGTAACTGCATCGTTCATCTAGTAACCGCCCTCAGGATGAGGACATCACTCAGAGATGATCAATCAATAACAGGCTGCTACACACAAAACCTTTTAACATGATTATCTGCTGCTCACCAATGCTTACTACAAACAAGAGGCAGCTATATAGACTGAACGACTTTAACTCCTCTATTTAATAGTTTGCAATAAATGCAACCATTACCTGGCTGCCTTACTAACCAGACTGTGTTGAACACAAGATTGGTTGCAACTCCATAACAATGGTTTTTAAACCTCAACTATGAAGGTGATGCCCAGAACATTCAGATCATGCTTGTTGTATCAAATCACAGGTAGCAAGAACTTTTTATCTGCCTGTTGACACTGTCAGTTTCTGTTTGTATTCTAGTTCTGTAGATGAAATGACGTGGAGGATATTCACGGAAATCAATGTAATCAATCCAATAATGAGACTGAACGTGCTTTTTGTATGAAAGTGTATTAAAGTGTCAGAAACAGACAGCAAAATGGCACAGAACAACACTCCTTTAACACTATCACTTTCATTGTGCATCTCAAGAACTATCATCCTGATCAGCACCAAGAGTTTCTGAAAAATAAGAACCAGAACGCAAAAACCTGTCAGCAGTCTTCACTTCAGTCATTTAACAATGCAAGAAAAACAGCAACCACCTAAAATAGTACAATCCAATACAAGAAGTTTATTGATCCCTAAAGGCAAATTTGTTTGTCTAGAATCTCATCTCATTGAAGAGTCAAGAAATTGATTGCTTTGGGTACAAAAGCTCTTCTAAATCTCTTCGCCTCGCAGTGAAGACAGAGGAGCCGTCCACCGCTGTTGCTTTTTTGGTCCATCAAGGTGTTATGAAGTGGATGATCCGTGTTTTGTAGAGTGGCTTCTACCTTCCTCAGTGTGCATCTCTCCACCACATCCTCCAATGAGTCCGACTCGATCCTAATCCAATGAAACTTGAAACCGAACGTAGAACTTCAGCTTTTGCCCTGGGTGGGATGTATACAAGTATTGTTATGATATGACTGAATTCTCTTGGAACGTAATATGGCCAAAGTGAGGCAACTGTCAGCAGTTCAATATCTGGACAACACAACTTCTCCTTGACAGTTATGTGTGAAGAGTAATGGCTCATATATGCTCAAAGTTACACACGCATCTGAATACGGATGGAGCTTTCCATCCATGCTTTGCATCTTTTTTGTCCGTATTTCTGTATGTATCCTTGAAGTTTACGAATACGGGCCAGACGGAGCAGTACCACCAGAAACCGTGGGGGCAGTGTTGCTGCTGTCACTACCCGGTACACATCTCTAGAAAGAAACAAAGAGGACAATGGTGGTATTGCTAGAGAAAAGAATTCTCTGTCCTCCAACCACGAGGCATTTAGTGGCCTGATCGACCACCGCCTCCTCCAATGCTGCCTCCGTTTCTGTCTCCTACGTAAATTATACATTATCACTAGCTCCTCCACAGTCGCCACATTTCTTTTTGTTTGTTGTTAGAAACTTCTGACTCCGGCCTGCCCTCTGGTGAATGTAATGGTTAACATCCATGACAATGTAAAGGACTCATTGAAGTATGTGTGCAATGTGTGTTTGAAACGAACGTGTACATTTTCATACATATGGCGAGCATAGATGAGCCTTTACACTATCTCTGGTGAACAAATAAAGCCAGACCCCCCTCCTTTCTTCTTGCCACTAGCTTCAGTATCTCTGTCTAAAGGTAAAAGGGGCTGAAAATAAGGGCAAAAAGTCTGATGGCATCCCAATCTCTTACTTAATCAATTTGTCAGATATTAACAAGATAAAATACAAACTGTCAACAATAGATGTGCTTTTCTTCCGCTAATTTCCTTAAGGACGCTTTGCATGACTCCTTGATTGTTTCATCAAGCTGCAGCAAATCTAATCCTCTAATATCAGCTCTATTGTTTCCTCATATTAATGCTAATTGTTGTCTGTCTCGTACGGTGCACCATCACCAAACATGGAACACCAGATAGTCTGTACAAGATTATGTTTGTACTAATTTTGGTTATTTTTCTTGCTGAGTGATTCAGGAGGCAATAATAATTAGCTGAGCAAGCACATCCCCCACTATGCCTCCGGCTGAATGAAACAGAGAGCGACTAAGCATTACAAAACGCTCCCATCCTTTCAAACGCAAATTAAAATAACATCTACGCATCAAGGAATACTTCTTCTCTGCAGCTATGATGAAGCAACAGCAACATATGAAACCTATCAAACTGTCTCATAAATCATATAAGGAAAATTAAGTTATGCTCTGGAATGTATATTCTTTGACCAACAGGTGTTATATACAATCTGAGGGCTGGATCCCGCTCTGTATTAGTGCACAGCAGCTATAGTGCAGGTGATTACAAAGATAGATTGTAGACTTGAAGCAGAAGATCTATTAAAAGATGGAGTTGCCTGGCATCAATCCCAGGCTTATTTCTGTATCTGGAGGCTTACAGCATGGGCCTGGACTTAATGTGCTAAATACAATAGCCTAAATTACTTTGGCTTCAGAGGGTAATTGACTGATTAGCACAGAGAGTAACAATCATCCAAACTGTGTCCTGGTTTTGTAAATATGCCAATTGAATTACTCTCTGCCCACCACATTTATTTCTTGAACCGGAGCAAGAAGCGGTGAGTGTTTTTCTCTCTTACTTTCACAAAATCCTTTTTATAGCAGCGGACGTCCCTGGAGCGGCGGCAGGTTTAGCAGGTGTTAACCTCTCTCTGGGAGGCTCCCTCCTGAGGCAACACACAGTCTAGCAGAGCAACACTTCTCATTCCCCGAGCAGCTTGCAGTCTGCCAATCACATAAAGGTGGAGATGATGGACAGGCGAATGAGTCTCCCTTAGTCCCTAAGTAATATTACTTTCTGTTCCTTTTCAGCACACCACAAAGACAAACTTCAACGTCTTCTTATGACAGCTCCACAACAACTTTTCATTAACTTTCTTTTCATTTTCTAGTTATGTTTACAATGTCTGATGTAATCCATCTGTATTGATTAACTAGATTCATTGTTGGATCACATTCCTGTTACCAATAAACAGACTGCAGCTTTATTCTATCGTTGTTACAGACATGAAACTGTATGTTACTAGCGCCCTGCAGAGGTTTTGTTCCAATCACATTTTGCACTTTATTGTAATTGTTATTCCTACAGCAGATAGACCTCCTTGTGGCTTTAAAGGGACCACTTTCCTTTGGGGCTCCTTGTTACTCTGCCGGAGCAGCAGATAGTATTGATCCTGTTTGTCAGATATAAAGCTTGATTTACTTGCATGGTTCTGATTTGTGTTGCTGTTGTTGTTTTGTGTACTCCCTTGGATATAGTTTATTCACAAGTACAGTTGACTGTCGGGCGTTATTCTGTCAAGCACTCGTTCTTCACACTTATTTAAAATTCTGAAAGAAGCTTTATCTGTTAAGCTGTTTTTTCAGTGTCTGAACATCACAACATTAGGAAGTACAGTAATACTGGATAATGACTGTGTTAGGAGAGTCTTTCCTAGAGTCAGTGCTGCTCTACTGAGGTCCAAGACTTGGACAATAGTCTAGACTTTTTGTATTATGATTATTTATGAACTTCGTGGAGGAGTATTGCGTTCATGAGTGCATCTTTTTATAGAGCAGTATCTCTTTTGTGGGTGTAGCTGTTGGGCAGTTGCCATGGGTTGCTTGGCTAAGTAATGCTGGGCTACAGTGTAAAAGTCTGTATCTTTCAAGAGTTAAAAGAACACACTTGGGTCATTTCTCAATGCGACATCCTAAAGACATTTTATTCATCTCACTTCTTCAGCAGATAAACTCACAGCTTGAGTCCTGATTTGTAGGTCTTGTGACTCAACTTGGACTTAAACACTGATGGCTCTAACTTGGGCTAGACATAACCATTGACTGCATTCAGAACATCTTCCATGCTAGAGCACAGTTAAGCATGTAGCTATAAGTCTAATACTGTAGTTGGCAGCTTGCATTGAATGTTTTTGTACATTTGCTTAGAAGTCCTGCAGGTTGTGGTTTCTCCAAAATAATTAAAACAGCTCCAGCAGCAGGATGGACTCCATTGTTTGCACAGAACATGAAAAAAGTTGTCAAGTTAATGTCGGGGATGGTTGCCATGGTTGCTTCTTCTTCTTCTTTCTTCTTCTCTCTTATCTATTTGCACACAGCCACTTATAGTACTGAGTCCATATGCAAGTGTGCTTGGGCACGATGTACCAGTGTGCAAATATGCTTGTGTATAGTATGAGAGAATCCCATCATGCCTTCAATGTGAAATTGTCTCAAGCAGACTAAGGCACCATCTGCATATGTAAATGTCAAATACCTCTCAATATGGACTTTACACTTTTGGAAAGTTCAGAGACTCTTGTGTTGGTGTTCAGTTTTTTTCCATGATGGTCCTCCTCTACACCACTAACCTTGTGCACACAGCACTAAAGAAGCCCTGTCTATCAACAGAGCTGTTAAATCATGGTGCTGCAACCCTTTAATGCCATTAAATGCCCATGGTACACAAACACTTTCAGAAGAAGGAGCAGTTTGATTGATAAGCGTTATAAGAGCTATGATGACACACACCATAATTGAAAGAGAGACAGAGAGAGCAAGAGAGAGGGAGAGAGACCTACATTTTGATTTATAGCTGAATCTACTGTTTTGGTGGTGGAATGACTGTCAAGATAAAGATCCCAGAGTTAAGGAGTTCTTTAGTTCTTCAAATGAATTTGCACAAGCTTAATTAGCAAACCATACTAAAGAATCATAAATACTCATATTCCTCACAAAAACATTTGATTAGAAGTGGATTTGAATTCAAATCCCATTTACAACTTGACTCATTGGTGGAAAAGTTTGAAACCAGCTACCGATCCCCTCGGAAGTTTACACAACCACAATAACTGAGGTCAATATTGTAACTATAATGGAAATTTAAAGGGATATTCCGGCATAAAATTAAGTCGGGCTCAAACACACTGTAACACCGAGAGATGAATGTTGCCGACATTGCTTCTATAGTTATACCGACTTTAGTGACGACTGTGAGATAGCAGTACACAATGGTCTACATCTCAAACCTCAACCAAAACCCCACTCTGTAGCCACAAATAATGCTCAGAACAGCACCTAACTTCAACAGTACATATAGGGTCCTAGCACTCAGTACTAGCCACCAAACATCTTTTTAGCTTTGCCTGGTTTCTTTAGCAAAACTAAGCACAAATTACCCACTCTCGTCCAGCAGCTGCTTGTTTGTGGGGGAGCCCTGACAAGTCCATCACTGGGTGCAGCGGAGTTTCACAGCTCAAGGAGGAACATTTGTGATCATTGCTTCATGGAAATGCAATTAAACTGAGAGGCTAAGGTAGAAGAACTTGCTATCATGCAGTTGTTACTAAAGTTGGTATAACCAGAGAAGCAAGCAGTCGGCAACATTCGTCTCTCGAGGGGGTGTCTAACCTTGCGTTACGGTGTGTTTGACCCTAACTTGATTTTACGCCAGAATATGCCTTTAATTGTTTACACACACTTATGCCTAGACCTGCGGGGTAGGAAAGGTTATTTGTCAAATCTGTGAAGAAGTTTTGCAAAGTTGAAAAGACAAAATTGCAAGGTCTCAAACAGGTCAAGGTTATTGATTAAATATGCAATCATCTGAACCATGACCATGTCATTACAACTTCAGATGGGGAAGGACTTGTGCACAAAATTGTGAAAACATGGGACTGGCTGCTCTCCATCTTATCCATCCAAAAGCAACAAAAAGATGACAAAAACAGTCCAGAAAATGAACACTTGTAATCCCTTGATAGTTTCAGTCAAATACCAGACTAACTGCTGTATCTCACCAATGAAATGCCTCTCCTGCTGATTTTGCTGATATAATTCTTTGTAAATCCACTTTAAAAACACAAAGGTGTCAGTACACCGACATCACATGCTCATGTCTGACAGGATCCACTCACCTCTGATCCTCCCACTGTTAAAACGTGCCACAGCACAGTTTGCTTTGCTTGCAGCAGGCCTTCACACTCCACTCTTAGAGAAAAATGGGCTGAATATCTTTGTGTTCTGGCCTTTATGGGAAAGTTGGATAATTAGCGAATAACAGTTGGCTGCCAGCTAGAAGAAGCTGAGCTCAGCGTTATATTTCTGTCTCTTTCTGTCTCTGCAGGGCCTGCAAGAAGGACCAACAAGAGAGTTTTTATCTTAGCTCAGCAATGAGCTAAGGGATAGTTACCTATGGGCTGTGTGCACAAGTATCCTTAATGGTACAAGGCTCTCCATTCTAGGTAATCTTAATGAAATCATGAAGCGAAATGCACTGACCAGCATGTTGTCTAAGAAGGGTAGTTCAGAGGTACTACTGTTTAATTCATGCTCCAAACTGCCTCTCTCTCAGAGTCACTGGAGAAAAGTCTTGAAAAGAATTTGTAATGATCGATCAAAGGCGACCAGAAAGACTAATCAATACTGGCTTTTGTCCCGCCAGAAAAACACTTAATTTTCTGATTTGTTTTCTTTCTCTCAAGCTAAAAGTAATTCATGCATAAGGTATCAGCAAGGAATCAGTGAGTTCATCAGACAAACAATGTGGATTATTCAGTGGTAAGGAAAAATGGCTGGAGGCATTCATGCCAGCTCATGCTGAAGTGTGACTGAATTGATGTTTGAGCTTTGGCAGAACAAGCTGTGTGAACTGCATGGAGAGGAGACAACAATACAGAGGGGGGAAAGCTGAATCAAACTGTGAGAGGGAGAAATGCTTTGACTGCTCCTCCCAGTTTGGCTTTCAATTTACATGAACAGCAGGAGTGTGCTGTTTATTAGAGGTTACATTTATGAGTGGGTGTTTATGCCATCCCATATTATCCTAGCTTTATGTCTTATCTAACTTCTGGGAATGAAATTCAATAGATAAATAGAGTGTAAAGGAGAATTTTGTTTACGGTATAGTGTGAGAATACCATGGACTCTGAAAGACGATGGACTGTATCCACTGTGATGCTCCCTGCTGTTTCTGACCCACTTTTTGAAACCATAAGCTCTGCATTTTGATCATCCCTATCTTGGCTTGTTCTCCAGTCATTGATATATTGCTGTGGGTGCAACTTTTCGGTTAAAGAAAGCAACACTTAATAATCAAACTTAACTCTACTTTTTGGACCATTGCCAACTATTGCACTGTTTTGGACAAGAGTTGAAAATTGCAATTAGGACCATTAACTTAGTGGGAACATTTTACTTCCTGGGTAATTAATCACCGGAGAAGATGGCCATTCCCCCATCTGGTGTTATGATTTTGGACTTTTTAAAAATTAACTATTGTTTAAACAAAACAGATTAAAGCCACTGTGAAAAAGAAAAGATCAACAGTGATGCTTCTTTAAGACCAATCAAAGACCAACTTGATGAAGAAACAGACCTTTTTTGTGTTTTTCCAAGCAAATATTTATGCCCAGGTGCATCGGTTGAAATTGGCAAACATCAGCCCTATTGATTCACATCAGGAAATAATGTCATGTATTGATATAAGTAGCTGATGTTTGTCTGTATCTTTATCACAGTGCTGTAAATCTGTTACCACAAACTGCTTATTCAGAGAAGTTTGGTATTGACTGTTGGTGTATGCTAAATTGTTGTTTTAAATTGATGCATCTACAGTGAATATTCACAATGACTACGAAAAGGGTGAGATTTTTTGTCAAACACTACCTTGGTCTGTATGGGACAAACTCAGAAAACTGATGACATGTTTATCTTTGTCCACTGGGGGGTGCCAAAATCAACACAAATCTAAAGTTCCTCACAGCAGCTTTTAAGGCGCTACATCATTGGCTTTACTTTAAAACTCAAGTCTGTGTGTCCCCCTTATATAGCTGATAATAAACATAAACAAGAGTGTAATTTCTTGAGTGTGTTCAAATACAAAAAGCTGACTCTGATGCAGAAACATTATACTGCCATGATGAAATAGACATACTGTTTGCTGCCTTTGTTTTTGTCTGCCTCATATGTTCTGCCATGTTATGTCACCCAGACTGTACCTCACCTGCCCACCTCATCCCTGTGGTGCACATCCTGCTCCTGCACACCTGCTTCTCTTTGACTGATTCCCCCTGTGACCCCCTCTTCCTTCCTGCACAGCTGTTCCCCACTGTCTCATTATGATACCTGTAAGCGTGCACCATGTGGGAGTCTCTTTCCACAGGGACCTGTCACATTATCAGAGCTCGCTGTACTGTTTGTGCTTTTCTAATTACCCTGCATGTTATCTGCCCGTGTGATCACATGTTGTCTGTGTTCTGTTTTCCTGCTGATTTTACTGAGTAATGTTTATCTTATATCACAGTCACC